GGGAAAGAGAGCCAGAAATTCCGGCAAATAACAACTTTTTCGCAAGGTAAGCTCCCCCGGGGGAGGTGACTATCTTAAGCTAGCGTTTACACGACCACGTTGCTTTCCGCCCTATCCGGTTTAAGCCGCGTGTATTTATCTGTGTCGTTGTACGTTTACCTGACTGTCTGTGTCGTTGCCTTGGCCTTTGCGATTCTCGGAACGATCTCCGGCTCCGATCTATCGATCTGCAATCTACGCAGGTACCTGCCTCCGCGCGTCGCCGGGAACTCGTATCGGTGATCGTAAAGCCGGAAAGTACTCGAGAAAATACATCAGCGCGTTCGGATGTTTGTCAGGAAAAAAAATACATATGTTGCGAACATGTGAGTTTAAATAAATTCTTCGAGAGAAAGAGAGAGAGAGAGAGAGGAGAGATATTGTTTTAGTAAACAAAGCTCGCCTTTGATCCTATCGTTACGAAAACAATCTAACAAACGCTGACGATATCGGTAATAACTAGAAGATATCGCCGTTTCTACATTTTGTGACACGACAATTCAGATAATAAACAAATTAATATATAAATCTCTCGCGCGATACGCCCACACGCACGTGTTCCATGACATAATACGCTTGCAACATGATGCAAGATCCGCATTGATTAATGCCACCGTCGTCGACGGAGCGACGCGACGCGACGCGGCGCGGTTTCTTCTCCGCTCGCTCTGTGACATTTTCGTCGTGGCATTTTACCTCCGTCGTGATTCTCTAATTACATAAGTTGAACGTACGAATTTTTACCGCGTCCGAGCACGGCGCATTTCTGTGTGTCTCACAAACGTTTCCTCCGTAGAACGGGATAAAACACTTGTCGAGTTCATTACGCCATCTCGTTCAGCATGTGACATTTTCAGCATCATCGCGTCTCTCTTTCTTCTCTTTCTCTTTTCTTTTTTTCCCGTTCGTTACGTAATTCCGCTACACAAACGTTTGCGCGCGCGCGAACGTTTGTTTCTCTATCGAAATATTTGACTCGCAACGACGAAGCGCTTTGGCAAAACGCATCGTCACGTGAAAAGAAAAATACTTCGAGTTGCTTTCTGTGACTATTTCTTTTCTCAGTCGTACGCTGTTCGGAACAAAAATTTACAAATGGTTTCTTCCTGGGTTTCTTTTCAGATGAAAATCCTTGGATTTCTCGGCTTTGTAGAATCACTAAGAATTTGCAAGTTACCTGCTCGGTACCTGCGTTTTTGCAAGATGATAAATGAAGGGAAAAATGAAGACTAATCCCAAGTTTTGTATTTTGAAAGGATCCGCTTCGAGGAAGGGCGGAGAACGATAGAGAGAAAACTTTTAACGTTGTTTAAAGAAGACCTAACGGGATTCTAGTATATTGTAAAATTTGCCGATTGTGTGAAATACAGGTACGTGGTAAAGAAGCAGAGCGTCGTATCGCTCAACGAACATCGTCGAAAAACTCGAACCCTCGTCCTACCATAAAATCTGTAATGACGTTGTTGGCGTCGTCTGAACGCCGTTGCATCGGCGCTGCAAGTGACGCCAACAGAAAAAAAGAGAATGACGCGAATAAAAAGAACAATATTCGTTCGCGTACGCAATATTTTAACGAGAATATCCCATCGCGTGAAAGAAAAACGTCAAAGAGTCTTTCGAGACGTGACGTCACGTGTGATTCTCAGCGTGTGAGATTTCCAGAGTATCGCGAGATGCGCGATGTGTCATCTCGCGGCAAAATAATTTAGTGCGACGCACACAAAAGCGAGAGAGAGAGAGAGAAAAAAAAGAGAGAAAAAGGGAGAGAGAAAGAGAGAATGATTTTTAGTTTCAGAAAAAAATATGCTTTGAAACTTTAGACTCTGTGTGTCTTCTAACGATTTCTCTTTACCTTCGTCGCACAGAAAAATCTGTAAGGGGTAGCAATAATAGTTTTAGGATACGCCTTGGCATAATAAACTATACATGTTGGTCGCTGCAGTGTATCTTTACTTTAATGTTTTTCTAGTGTTTATTATTTATTGTACAGTGATAAAAATTATTTTTGTTGTTATCTATCGTATTGTCATATTATTTCTCCTGTTATCTTGTTTTTGTTGATTACTATAGATAAAAGAGATTATTGCAACACGAGGGAACACTCACTCGCGTGTAATTTCGGGAATTGACAAAAAACTGTTCCAAACATAATGAGGAAATATTTCGGGAAATTTGTGAAGAAGTGAAGATTGCTTGGTTTCGCACGACGCACACCTCTCATATAAATATGTATTAATGCTATTACATTACAACAAACTTATCGTATCGTGAACGAAAGTGCGTTTCTTCAACCGGATTACTTGTTCGTCGTGTATTACACAACAGCGAGACGAAAAGAATGAAGCGAAATTAAATACGACTGGTTTTTTCTTCTCGTTGCATGCTTCTCTTCGCCCACTTCTTCTCCGAACGAATGGAACGATGTTGCAAGAAAGACGCGCGCAAGAACCCACCAAGCCGAGAGAGCAGCATTGCCCTGTGCGCGCGCCACATGCTACGCCCATGCGCTTTTCTGTGCTCGCTCTCATAATAATGGAAACGCAAGTTTACTCATGTGCTCGACACACGAATCGCTATCCCATTCCACTCTTTTCTATTATTTTCTCATTTTTTGGTTACAAGTCTCGAGTGACTTCCGCGCTTGAAATATTTAAGTGCCCGGTTGTATCATATTTCTTTTCATATTTTTCAAAAAAAGAATTTCAAAGAACATACAAAGAAGAGTGTAAATATATTTGTAACTCGATAATCTTGCAATTACATCTAAAAATTAACAAAAAGCGTATCACTTATAGATAAGAGTGCTAGATTATTCTAAATGATAGGAACGAATTCGATTGGTTTCTCAATTAGAGTCCGAAAAGCTCGGAAATTTCACGCCTAATCGTACACGCTTCTACAAACCAATCGTCAGAAACTGAGTGGGAAGAAAGAATCTAATTTTTTTTCTCTTTTTTTTTTTATTCTCTCGCGTGTACGTGCGTCACAAAGAGCCCGCATATCCCGGTATGATATCTCTAGGCACATGAGCCCGGGTCGTCGCGACTTACATTAGCTGTTTATATTTAGTGGCATGAGAATCTGTTCGAAGGGAGGGAGATTGAACCCACCTACTTCTCCCTTGAGATTCGACAGCTCACCCTCATAAACCCACATGTCGCATCGCATCGCCGAACATCCCCTAATTGGACGCGAGTCAGACTTTTCTCGTTGTTGAACGGAAATCGAATCTAGCCAGAGAGAGAAGTCAAAGTTTTTTTTCCCGCGTGATTGACAAATCGATATATTTGTTACCCCGTTATCTCGTTTCTCTCTCGCTTTGTCGGCAAAAATTCTAGTCAAGTTATTACGAGAGCCGTAAATTATTTTACTTAACGGCGCGATCAAGCGATTAAGACTCAAAGTTCTATCCAATCGCGTTCATCTATAAATCATTTTGCTTCTTTTAATATCGGAAGAGATTACCTTCACGGCGAACGGAGGCCGCCACACGTTCGACCTTTTAGTTGATACTTGACATTGCGCCTCCGTGAAACCAGCGGGGGGGTTCACTCACTTCCTACTCGCCCGACCTCGCGCGTGACCGAACTTCCGGCTTTCCCTTCGCGAAATGTCACTTCCTTCTTCGATCGACGACGTCGTTTGATTTCGTAAAAACCATCGCGTTCCTATTTCGCAAAAAAAAAGACAACATTGCGGAATTCTTGTTATAATTAATTACACACGCATATCCGGGAACGGGTTTTTGCATTGCGGAGAACGTTTCTTAATAATATAAACAGATTTATTTCTAATCGGTTGTGTTGTTCAAATTGCAAACGAGAGTGACGTGTACGCGTTGGCGATCGTAAGCCGTAACGTTGACAAAAAATGGCGGCAAACCACTCGCTTCTAGAATCTGCGGTTTACGGCGTCGCAGGTGAACAGAAATTGAACTTCATTCATGCCGCTACGATCGCGACCGCTACGCGCGGTGTCGATTCTGTAACTGCTAACGGCAATGTTCGCTATTTTTGTCGCGCAAACCGTTTTGTAATATGTTTCACCTGCGCGTAAATATACGTATCAACGCCGATGTAAACGACATGTTGACGATTACGGAAACGCCATGTTTGAACGCATTCGAGCGCCGAGAATACTATATCTAGTCTTGTGTATCTAAATAGTTTAATAATAATAACAATACATAAAATTCCCATCTTTGTTTTTGAAGCGTACTAACTCGAGAATATCAATATGTAAACACAATATACACACGTTTCGTTGCACACGAAACAATTACATGTATCTCTTGACACATCGGCATTTGACTCGAAACTTTGTAAAAAATTAAAAATGTTCTGCCCAACCTGTTAGCGATACGCGCCATAGTTGGCCTTCGACCACACAAAAAAAAGGATATCGTTTGACGATATCCTTTTAAAGATAACGAAAAGATAGGACTTCACATATTTGTGTACGAAACGATATTTTATCATCGACTGTTTCAAGACTGATATCAGTAATAGATAAAAAAATAACTAATAAACAAATTTACTTAAGTATTCAAAACCAGCCATGCGTTGTCCGCATATATCCGTCTATCCGGCGCAACATTGGCCGGCGTTCGGTCTCCATTGAGAGATATTGCGGAAGACGTGCGAACTGCTCACGGTAGGGGATGATGTTTGCATCTACCCTGAATCACCCTCGTTCTCGTCCAATGAGAACCCGAAGTTGTTACTATTGGCGAATAAAAGCACGAAGGGTGATCGCTCAGATTCGACATCCGCAGCGGCGAACTTCGCGCGAGAGAGAGAGAGAGGGAGTGAGAGAGAAGGAAAGAGATAGAGCGGAGTTGCGCGATTGGCGCGCCGACGAGCGACGAGGCAACGTTGCCGAGCTTGTCTTCCCCACCGCGGCGGCGCGCGGAGCGACAGGCGATTGGTCGGCGCGCCGACACTAGCGTAGACACCCGACGGCAAGCGTGTGTTCTTTTCGCCGGTGCGACGTCGGTCTCAGTATTCTTCGTTCTCAGTTAGCTTTGGGAGGCTCTGCTACGAACATTGGCAGGCGCACCGGACGCACGAACACATATCCCGGCAAGAGAGAGAGAGAGAGAGAGACGGGTGGTCGCGGCAAACGAAGCGAAAGTGCCAAGTTCAAGTTCGTACAACGCGCGGCGAAGAGAGAAACGTCAAAGTACGTTACCACGATCAACGTGAGAAACAAACGCAACAAACGTCGGCTGTTGTCGTCGCACACAACCGGACACAACTCGATTCGAAGAAGCAAAAGCGAAGCCGGTTGGTTGAGAAACGCGCCCGAAGCGCACCGATCTCTCACGTTCAATTACTTCGAGTTGTATCTCGCGCTAGCCTCGCCTGGTTTTTTTTTTTTTTTATTCCGATTACTAACACGTGTCGATCGGGACACGTTATTTACCGTATTCACTTTTCTTGTTTTTATTTTGCGCGGGTGCTTTCGATGCGAGCCACGACGACGGTGGCGCACAACGGCACGCACGATCGGAGTGGCAGTTTTATTGTGTTCTTCTGAAAGAGAGAGAGAGAGAGAGAGAGAGAAAGAGAGTTTTCGTCCCTAAGCGCGAAATTACCACGTCCGCTGTTTTCGGCACCCGCTGCGAGGAATCCATCAAAAAGGAAGAAGAGGATCGAGGAAAAAGGAGCGGACCAGCTCCAGATACACAGTGTGTTTTTGTGTCGAAACCGAGGAACATGTCGACTGCTGTCATGAGTACCACCATGTTCGAGTGCAGCGAGCATCTCTTTAAGGTAGAGTTTCCTATCGAATCAATTTTTTTCTATTTATAGTCTATTTTATTGCTACGGATCCCCCCCGCGCGATTTTCTTCCGCGTGTTTCGTTTATAAGATAAATTTCAAGGTTGACGCCCGAAAAGAAATCGATTCGTCGAGAACATCACTTATCGCGCGAGGCTTATTCGAAGAACGAAAACAAATGTCAAAATCGCGGGATACGCAAAAGATTTTTTCGAACTTTGTTTCGATTTGTATCGTGAGAGACAAATGGACCTTCACAAATTGAAATTTTCAACAGTATTTTTACGGATTCGCAAACAATAGGTAATTTTCGAGATCTGACGTTTTGCCTCGACGAAACTTTTTCCGGTTTTTCTTCGCCTACTTGCTCAGCGTTTTCTACCTGCTTTTCAAACACCGAGTGTGTCAGGTAGGAGCAGGTATGGAAGATGTATGTGCCACACAGCACACACAAGGATCGTTTATTCGATTCGCTGCAGAGACCAATCGGTCCATTCATCTCTCGCGATACGCAACAATAAAAACCGCATTGGGTCACTCGGGTTTCTCTTGCAAAATTTTATTTTTTTTTTCTCTCTCTCTCTCTCTCTCCTAAATCGTGCAGCAGAACAAAAGTCGGACGCGTGTACATACGCGCGAGAATTATTTATGAGATATGATCGATAAAAAAAAATGTGTGTGTGTGTGTGTGTTTCGAATTGTCGATTGTATCGTTTCGGGATGCCGATTCAATGTCAGATCGAATCTCGTTCCAGGCTTTGTATCGTCGTCGTTCGCATTTCCGATATATTTTCGAGAACGGTCGACCTTGCGATGCTACGCGAATCGAGAGATCACACGATACGGGAATATACAGAACGAAAAAAAAATAATCGATTTAAGTCGGATCGCGCGTATCGAACACAGCGAATATTAACGCTTGTTTGCTTTTTTCTATTAGAAAAAAATAATTCAACGATATAAATTATATTCAACGCGCTCGGAAAATTTCCAAATTTCCTCTCAAAGATATCGGTGTATTTATGTCGAGGTTTATCGAGATTTGATTTACGATTAAAATTTGTTCGGTATTTCCGAAACTGATTGCTCATCAAGACGATAATTCTATGATATATACGTATTTATTTTGTGTCCTTGACGTGTCACACGTTTGATATTGTTGTCCGAGTTTCCACACAATTTTGATCTCCAATCTCATATCTCGGATAAAAAATGACAAGAGCGGAATTTATCGGTGTGGAAAGTATCTCGTCGAAAGTATCTTGCACAACGAAACCCGCCTCTAAAAACTCGTCTTGTTTATCGTTTCTATCTTTATCGTTAGATATGCATAATCTCGAAACATCAATATTGTTTTTCTGATACACACACGTCAATATATTCCCTTGACACAAGTTGCGTAACGCGATAAAGTTCTTTTTTTTTTTTTTTTTTTTTTTCGAGAAACTTCCTTGTTGACTCAAGAATTTTTGACGATTAGATCCAAACTGATTCGTGTTTTTAATCGGTGACGTGTTCAATGTGTGTTGAAAAAAAAATAAAGAAAACGTGCAAACTTAATTAAACAATTTAAAAACAAATATTCGCGACGTGTTTTAATTTGCACTCGAAGTTACAGTGCGGGCGAACAAAATAGATACGAGCGTACGTGAACAGGCTGGTATGTACAAAATCGACTTGAGTTAATCACGCCGGATCGACAAAGAACCACCGTCTAACCGGCCGAACATATTAAGCGGTAATTGCTGCCGCTCGCGCGCGGTGTGTTTCTCTCTCTCTCTGTTTCTCGTCGATAGATAGATCGAAAGGCCTTCGTCGCACAGACACAGACACAGACACACAAACACACATCCATTCTCGGACGGTCTCGCGCGCGTTCTCGTCACGACGTAAATAAAAGGCTGTCGCGCGAATCTCGAAGCCGGAGAGACTCTCACCTCGGTGAGAGAGAGAACTAGGCACCAACACTCTCCTTTGGTTTCTCCTCCGAGTTGAGTTTCTCTGTGTGACGCGCGGAGTCTCTTCTCTCAAATGTTTTCATGAGATAGGCGCCCGTTACGATTTCATTTCTTGGCGCGCGTGACGTTATATTTTTACACGATCTGTCAAATCTAGTTTGACCTACGAAGAGCGTCGAGACGCGTAAATTCGTCGATATGACGTTAACATCTCGATTCGTAGTAACGTCGCGAAAAAGAAAAAGAAATAAAGAATTCTAATGAGAGCGGCTCGAGGTTGTTTTGAACGTCTTTGTTGTGTTCCGATTTTATCTCGCGACGAGCAGATGGACCGACCGGCACGTGAAAAGGGTGAGAATTCGCCGCGTTATTCTCTGTACGCGCGGAATCACTCCGCTGGTACTCGCTGGTACCGGCGCGAGCGAGCGAGCCTGTGTGTGTGTGTGTATTGGTGGCGTGTTGAATTAACAAATGCATTCTCGCTCTGTTCCGTCCCGACCGCACCGCTCCGTTGCATCGTACGACATGACAGAAACAGAAAGACATATTTATTGCGCGTTCTGTCGCGGCGCGTTTTCTTCTCTCTCTCTCGAACGCCTCCGTGCGTGTATAAATACGTGTGTGATACGCACGAAAATATTGGACTCGAAGAAACAAGAGACAGTGCAGCATAAAGACATTAAACGGTACCTTTGACTCCGACGTAAAGTAAATATTATACACATTCGCTAATGAATCGCACTCGGCGACTGTAATTTTACTATCACGAACGCGAGATATAACTGACAACGTTGGGACAACAGCCGCACTTCTGTAATACAATCGATCATTGTTGTTTCTCTTTTATTTAACCCTTTGTCCGTAGACTGGGTCTTCCAGACCCGCTCAAAAATTGCGCATCTACGTTTCTAGAAAAAATAAGTTTTTTTTTTTAAACGCTTTTATCTTCGAAACTACTGGGAATTTTTTCAATTTGTTTTTTTTCTTCTTTTTCTTTTTATATATCGTTTGCAATAGAGAGATCATTGCTCTTTTGTATTTTTAGGCGTAGTCGCGCGGATACGTTCGCGCTCTCTCATCTAAATCCGTATTTCAGATCTTTTATTTGTTCGCGCGAATTTCACGTGTCGAACGAATGACAGCGGCTGGTTTTTACGTGTTTATACAGTGGTTAGGTTTTGCGTGCTTGTACGTGTATAGACCTTCTTCTTCTGTGACCTCAAGACGATGACGGGATTGTGTTTGTCTCGCGATCTACCGTAAGGGGAAGTTCGATATTGAGAAATCGCGGCGTGTTTCTCGTAACGGAATGATACGTCAAAATTGTATCAGCTTTTTGTCGGACAAGCATAACATCGCTCATTCGCTACTTGTGCAGATAATTGTGCACGAGAGAGTTCTCTCGCGAACAGCGGTTTTCGTGAAGAAAATTACATAAGAGTCTCTCTCGAGTAATAACGACACGAGTAAAAACCGAGATGGCAAAGATAGAGATTCCAATTTACCGTAATACATGTTGAGAAAAACCATCGACGCATCGGCGATGATGCGAGAACACGACTTCGACTCGAAATATAACGTGTGGATTTAAACAGATAATGACGTCGTTAGATCAAGTTGGAAAAATTGAATGAAAAATATAAACTTGCTATTTACTACGCCCAAGTGTCATTTAATTAATATTTAAACTATCAACGCGTGTGTGTGTGTGTGCGCGCGCGTGTGGCGTGTGTATTGCGAGAGAAACGATTACGATCGTTCTGTAAACATCGTTTTTATCCGTTGTTTATCCTTCGCTTGTCCGCTTTGTACGGTATATAGGAGAATAATACAAGGATATGTGCGGTTGCTTTTTTTCATACACACACGCACGCACGCACGCGCGTACACACTGAGATATTGCGAAACTACCATTTTTCATGCGTGTACGACGATGTCGACTACGCGGTGTTGTTTTATTTCGTGATCGATCGACAAATATCTCAGTAATAATATATAATAAAAAAGAAAAAGATGTCAGAGATTATGTTGTTCTTTGTTTCAAAAAAAGAATACAAATAAAAATTAACATCAAGATGCAATCAAATTCGTCGAAGTAAATACGGGATTTCAGAGTTTTTATTTTAAATTACAGAAGTATTCTGTAAAAGAAAACTAGGCGTACATTTAGTTATAGGTTAATTTTACTACAAATCATAAATTAAACAAAATTTGACATTTCAAAATTTTTACAATTCTATGTGTACGCGTACTTTTCAGAATTATTATTTTCTTCAAAAATCACATTTAATAAATAACTATACACGCGAAATCAATCGGAAACTCGATATCTTCGCGAACGAGTCCAACCGCCGTCTTCCTCGGCGTTGCGGTCGGCGGGACGTCCAATCCCGGACACGCTGCTGTGTATAAACGCACGCGAGAACGCGCGGATTCTCGAGATTTGAGAACACGTTACAACACACAATAACATACCTTGCTTGCTCGTGTGTTGTGATCAACTCGCGCAGACGTTCCCGTGCGCGTCACAAAACGTAACCATATGTCAACGCGCGCATATTATCGTCGTCGTCGTCGTCGTCGCCGCGTATAATTATGCATGCGTACTATCGTATGATTTCCGGCGAACGATTCTGCCGAGTCGGTTCACTTGTCATTTCCCGTCTTGTTATCATGCGAAACGCGCGATTACGCGCGAATCTAAAGAAAAATAAAATAAAAAAAAAAATAAAAAAAAAAAAAACAGATGTAACTCAAAGAACTTTGACTCGTCCCGTAAATAACAATTGCATTGGCGTCACGTCGCGAACGGCGGCGATTGCTGACCTATGTGTGTGCAGCAATATACAACGATAACCCCTGTGTAATCTTCGGTGAAATCGACACACAGGGTATATTACGTACTATAAATACATATGTGTGCGTGAGAACGTTACGTTGTTCTTGTGTTTGCCCGTGAATCGTGTATATTCCTAGATAGATACGACGAGAAATTACGTCAGCTCGGTAACGTAAGAGTTGTACTTTTCCGTAA